TTCAGTATTTAACCATAGTTGATCTAAGCTAACTTGCTTACATAAAAAATTGATAGTAAAAAAGTTACAGGGTGTTAAAGTAGAAATTTTAGAAGTGATTTTATGCTCTTACTTAAAGCTTTAAGAAAAAAAACAAGCTCAAGAGGACATTATTTTGATTCCTAATATAATTCGATTGTTTAAGGTTATAAAATGATAAAGTTTCAGATAATGTTCTTGCTGGATAGTTGTCAGGACAATCCGATAACATGCCATGGTCTTTTAAAGCCATGTCATATGTCCAATCAGCATGTGGTAGGTTGTAATCACCCATAAGATACAAAGAATTATCAGGGTATAAATCCATAACATATTCTACACTGGAATTGGGAGGAATGTTGACACCCCCACCATTAAAGTTACTTATATTTTCAATATTTAATAACACAAAGATTTCCTCAACTGCTTAGGATTAAATTAGTAGGATTAAGGGATGATTTTACTTCTATTAACACTCTACCACCACTAGATGTATAGCTGGTACAAACATTTCTATAGCAGCGAAATATTAAGTAGTCATTCCATCCTAGTTTGTTGTTGGAAAAATGAGGAGTGAGCCAAGCTTCAACCAGTACAATTACATCATAATCTGAGTATACAGATCAATAACATAACGTAACTAATATTTGTAAACATTCAAATAGATTCGATTAATGAAGTCATTGATGCTGCTAATATAACAAATAAAATTAATCTAAATGAAAAACTCCTAAATGTCTTACATTTCAATATTAGGAGTATTAAAAAGAATTTTGATGAGTTGTTAGTATTTCTAGAAAGTTATAAAATTAATTATTGTGATATAATAGTTTTGATTGAATGTTTCCAATTAGAATCTATTTCTCAATTTAACCTAGATGACTTCACCACCCACTATAACAATGGTAACATTAACAGAAATGATGGTGTAATTTTGGTCAGGTCAAATCTAAATGCAGAATTAAATATAGTTAAACTGGAATATTCTGATATTTGTGTCACTAAAATAAATCTAAAAGTCAATCATCGGACCATTGGCATTACAGGTGTATACAGGTCTCCTCAAACCTCTGCACAAGCATTTATAAGGGATTTAGAAAAATTCATACCAAATCACCTATTCATAGGGAACATTAATATTGATCTCCTAAATGTAACCCATCAAGTAACTACTGATTACCAAGCAACTTTTTACTCCCATGGTTTCATGTCTTACATAAACACTATTACGAAGCCACAAAGTAAAACATGCTTGGATCATATATTCTTAAAAAACAATATTAAGACTGAAAATTTATCAGTGAACTCTTATGTAATCAGATATATGACTGATCATGATCCTATTATGATAAATATCTCACAATCTGCCAAAAACTACACAAGTTCCTACAATACATATAAAACTATAACTAAAATCAATACTGATAAATTAAAACAAAAATTTGAAACTGTAAACTGGGAAAGTGTGCAATGAAAATAATCCAGAAATTGCAACACAACTTTTTTATGACACCTCAAACCACTCAAAATATTAAAATTAAAATCCATAAAAAAATAAAGCCATGGATAACAAATGGTTTAATTAATTCTATTAAAACTTGGGATAAACTTAAAAAAGATCTACAAAAAAACTATACTATTAACAAAGTCACTATAAAACATTTAGAAATAATTTAAACAAACTAATATCAAAAACTAAAAATGACTATTATAACAATAAAATAAACCAAAACAAAAATGATCTGAAAAAAACTTATCAATTAATCTCTGAAGCAACTAATGAAAATCATAAAAAAAATAATACCAATTTACAGATTGTTAACCAACATAATGAGGAATTTGAAAATGATAATGAAATGGTGAATTACTGCAATAACTACTTTTCGACTATTGGCACTATTATGTTCACAAATATCCCTGAATGTAATGTGAATTTTTCTATGTCACTGAAAAATCAATGTTTCTGAAACCGATATGCGAAAACGATATTATAAAACACATAATTTAAAAAACAATAGTGCCCCAGGATTTGATTGTGCATATTAATTAATTGTATTTTTAATACAGGAATCATACCTAAACAATTTAAAACTTCAATTATAACACCTATTTATAAAGATGGTAATCCAAAATTAATAACTATAGGCCTATTAGTTTAATTAGTAATGTGGCCAAAATATTTGAGACATGTGTGAAACATAGACTGACAGATTTTTTAAAAAATAATGACTTACTTCCCAAGCACAAATATGGCTTTACTGAGGGTCTTAACTCAGGAGATGCTATGCATGAATTGATTTCATATGTTACTGATGAAATGAATACTGGTAACAAGTGTAAGGCTATATTTCTAGATCTAGCAAAAGCATTTGGCATGGTGCCACATCAGAAGCTCTTAAATGTTCTTGAACAGAATGGGCATCATGTTGAAGGTTTTTGAAAATTATTTGACACACAGACAACAGAAGGTAAAGGTCAGAGACAATGTGAGTAACCCTGAAAATATAGGGCTGGTTCTGGAACCTATACTATTTAATTTATTAATTTATACATTAAGAGCTTAACTCAGATTGATATTCAAGGTAAAGTTGTATCATATGCTGATGATACAGTGCTAATCTTCAGTGATAAAGATTGGGAAGCCTTCTAGACACGTGCTATAGCTGGAATGGATCATGTCAAAAACTGGCTGGATGTTTTTAAATTGTCTTTGAATGTTAACAAAACAAACTACATTGCTTTTTCAAAGACAGTGGCTAATCAACCTCAATTTAGAAGCTTAACATGTCAAAATTTAGACATACAGGAAACAGAAACATCCAAATATTTAGGTTTAATTATAGACCAGCACTTAAAATGGGACTGTCATATAATATATATAGATTTCTGATTTATAAATTTTATCTTCTAAAACAATTTCTCAACCAGGATCTACTAATAACATTACACTTCAGTCTAGTAGAATCTATACTACGGTATGGAATCTTAGTATGGGGAGGCCTGTATGGAACTACATTAAATCAGTTAAATGTTATTCAAAACAAAATCTTAATGTTAATATATAAAAGAGATAGATTGTGTCCCACCATAACTTTATATAATGAAAAAATTAGCAATGTTACATGTTTATATATTCACGCAGTGTGTTGTTATATACAAAAAAATGAATTTTTAAAAAACCCTTTAGAACATAGACATAACACTAGAACTGCATCAAACATGTGCATTAAAGTACCAAAACCAAATAGTGAGTTTTTTAAAAACAGTGTAAATTATCTAGGGACAAAGTTCCATAACTCTCTATCTTTTCATATGAAATTATTAAACAAATATAAAAAATTCTGTAAAGTTAGCAAAATATACATTTTCCAAAATAATGCAAAGTTTATCAGAATATTCCAAGAATAACGGACTTAATACATGGATTTTTTTTAAATAAGTAGTTTTTTTTCCGTTTCTTGCAAAAATTGTTCAAGTTTTATTTTTTATTTAAAAAAAAAAAATGTTTTTTTTTTCTTTATAATTTATTAAATTTAATTAAAATAAAATTTTAATTTTTGTCAGCACATACAGGTGTTCTCACCTAGGTGCTTGTTATTATATAATTGGTTCCCATTATTGTACTTTATTGTAACTTATTTATTATTGTAACTATTAACTATTAAATTAACTAACTATATTAAAATCATTGCATAAAACTGAATGCCTTAGGTCTAATAGTTTGGTTTATCAGTGAAAATATGAATAGATAGCTTCTGGGAAGAAAACAAGTTTGACTTAAATGAATTTATTAAAAATCAAGAAACGAAAGAGTACTCTTAATTTTATTATTTGTGTGATTAACTACTAAGGAGATAATTCATAAGATCTTTTTTCATAAAAGCATATTCTCTACCCTTTTTGATGATGTACTACAATTAGAATACTTAATAATTAATATGACAAAATTAAATTCACTTTTTAGACCAAAATCCTCAAAATTACAGTGGCAGTCAACGTGTTAATTAGGAACAGAGTTATAAGCCCCAGAAGGAAGGTCATAAGGAAAATTTTAATAAAATAGTAAAAATAATCATAAACAAATATTCAGTAGTTTAAGGTTTCAGATCAATAGAAAAATTTCCTTCTGGGGTCTATGACTAAGTAATTAAGGCTTTCACAAATAAATGTAGGATATAGGATTTCAGAGATATGCAGTTTTTAACTGAATTTTATTGTCTACAAAAGTAGGGATCAAAGGAGCGAGGAAAGCCCTTCTAAAAACTTATAGAATTAAAACAATTTTAAACACCAGTAACTCCATTTTATTGGTCACTGTATACTAACATACTAACAAGAATAACCCTGAATCTTTATTGTATTTTGTTTGCAGAATCACTTATTCAAACACCCATATTTATAGGTTAGGTTTAGAATGGACTTGTGTACTACTACAATCTACACTAACCCTTTAACTATGAGTAAGATTATGTATCTGAGAAACACATGGTACTAGAACTACTTATTTTGTATTCAACTTGTACTTACAGCATTTTTTCTAGTTTTTGAATTATAACACTTTTAATGACAATGCAATAAATACAGATGATTTTAAAATGAGACACTTTTTTAGAAATAAGCTAAAATAATAGATTGATGGGTTCAAAAACATAAATGATTTCAAAAGTATGTAGGTAGGTACTTTAAAGTCCCAAACACTGATTCATAGTAAGATTAAATCATTATTTGATCCCTAGTTTTTCAATTTTAGAAAATAAATAAAGCTATTACAACTAACAAGAAAATTTTAATGATTGCATTGATAAGGTTAAATGAATTTTTCAAAATAAAATAATAGCCATGACTGTACTTCAATTAGCAAATTATTACCTTGGATACATTTTGAAAAACCCAAACAAACTGAACAAATGATCAAACACTTTGTTTTGATTGAAGCAAAATAGGTATTATTGATTTATTAACTGAGTAGTAATTGAACTAACCTGGAGAATGTAATATAAGGGAGGCTTCTCTAACGTATAGTTCCTCCTCCAGACGGGGGAACCGGCCGCGGTGAGTACTTCTATGCATGTCAGAATCAACTTCTAATTCACCATCTTCACTTAAGATTCCCTCTTCAGCGCTCTGTATTTCACCTGCTTCGGGGCCGCTGAGGTCCTCGGAACTCACATCGGAGTATTCTACTAGGGGTTTCGTTTTGAGAAGACCTACGTAATTATTTGAGCCTCGATCATCCCTTTGTTTGCGCTTTTTTGATTTCTTGGATTTTTCCTTACTATGTTTGCCATGCCGATTTTTTTCCATTTTACAAATTAACTATAATCGCTATCCAGCACATAGTATCGTGTGCTGGTTTGCCTGAAGGCAGTGGAGTCCTAGGAAAAGTCCACATACTCAAAAATTTGAAAGATTTATTTGGTTATGTTGACATGTAGGTTGGCATGCATGATTTTAGGAACCGTCACCACGAAAAGAGGACATCAGCTTGCGAAAATTATAAAAGCAAAATATACAATTTTTTTCGTGTAACAATACTCCTAGCCAACGAAAAAGAATCTTTGGTGATATGAGAATTTTCTATAGATGTGTTAATTTGACGTCCGTGACCTTGAACAAATGAAGATGATGGCGAATTGCAGTTGTGTTTTGGGTGGGTCAAAATATTTGTTAAAAAAAGCAAAATAAAAGCTCTTTGACATTTATTATTGCTAAGAAACTGTAAACAAACTTACCCAGATATCAATTTAACTAAATACGTCCACTTCCGCACTCACTAACGCACGTCACAGCACTTTGATTTCATTCGACAAGTTCTTTCGTCATTTTTGATACTCTTCTCCAAGTTATCGGAAGGTTTGTTGTTCAATTTCTTTAAAAATATTGACTCTATTATTCAGTGCTGATATTATAGATTCTTATTTATTGTTTTTTATTATCAGATGTAGCATAGATCATTAAATATTCCAAGATTTAGAAATTTTATAGAGAACAATCCTGACGACAGGACGCCATTTTCATCTAATTTGTTTTCATAAATAGCATGCGTCATTCTACTCCCCCTCTTCGGCAAGGAAGATTTCTACTAGCCCGATATCGGCGAATTTTAATAATTGGCAATAAATATAAAAATAGACTACTTTTCCTGCATTAAAACTTGTAATTACATGTATTTTATTATTACGTTTAAAAATTAAAAGATTAGATTGATTTTAATTGAGGTTTAATCAATTTTCTTCCACTGTAATCGTGCTACTAACCGATAGGTGGCGGTACTCGAATCATACAAGTTATGGCTAAATTTCCAACAGCCGTAAAAACGTTATGAATAAGATTACGATGGTCGGTTTAATTGAATACAAAAATTAATCTTACTGACAAAATTTATTTACAAAAAAAATCTATTTTTCGTATTATACTGTATAAATAGACTATTACTACTACATGTTGGCACTTTATTCTTATCAGCTTGGCAACGTAATCGAACGCAAAAAAATAGAAAATGTATGATTACGCTTTGTTATTTTTAGCTATATTGTGAGTGGCCCAGTTGACGGAAGTTTTCCAAGAGTTCGAAAGGGCTTCGTCGAACTTTGACCTGAAGTGGAGCAGGGCTTCTTCGTCCGATTTATTCATCACCTAAAAAATCGATAATTAAATGTTGTTTTTGTTGATTTTTTCTACGTTTTTTCTCACCAAAGTATCCCTTAAATAGTTGAGATCCTTTTCGGAGCTCAATTCTGGCAGTCCCGTCGATATCATCATGGCAAATAGCGAAATAAAGAGATTTCCGTGTTTTCTTAGAATCATAAATGCCTAAAAAATACGTATTTTTAATTTTAAATTGTGACAAAATAAATGATATACTGAATATTAACAATTCCTGTACCTTTTCGCAATATTCTTGGAATATCTTGAATTCCAGGGCTTTGGAATTTTGTCCTTTGTTTATAACGTAGACAAAATCGTGGGTTAATACAAACGGTACTCTTTCTCTTTTGAAACCGAATTTTTCTTTAAAATGACCTAAAATGTGACCAAAATCGATGTGGAAGAGCTAAAAAACACATCGTTGTATAAATCTATATGAGGTTTATTGAATAAATAAGAGAATTTCTCTTTATTTTTAATTGTTACTGTACCTGTCCATTTTGTTTGACCATAATATTGTCCGAATGGCGATCGGCGATGCCCAGAACGTACGTAGCTACGCAATATCCCGCGCATGACAGCGTAAATTCGTTTACGGCTTTATTTAAGGCAGCTTCTGAAGTATTATAGTCTTTTAACCAAGCTAAAATAAAAATAATCATTGTCCTTAAATAAACCCAAAAAACACTGTATTGTTACCTAAAATGGGCCCCTTTCTGAAAGCAGCAGTGGCAGTGAACATTCCCTTCTCCTTTTGGATATTCGCTATGGTTTCGGCATTTAAAACTACTTCGATCATACCAACGCGATGCTCTAATGATATGCATCCATATAGATTCATTCTATAAACAAAATAGCAAAAATTCAATTAAAATCACACACAATAATGAATTTAAAATACATAAAAAGTCATCCATAAATAAATAAATAAATAAATAAATCCTTTATTCATCTATCAAATGTACAGAGACATACATATGTTTGAATACACAACAAAATGTACATTTATGAGACTTGTCAAAAAAAAAAGAAATAGAATAATACAATATATAGCACTTCCATTTACAACATATATCTAAAATTACTATAATAAAAATAAAAAATATTTATATATAAATCTAAAATTAAATTAAAATGATTAAGAAATCTGCAGGAATTCTTCTACAGAATAAGACGCATTTTCAGCTAAATATTTAAAAAGTTTGGTTTTAAAAACATTATAACTACTATTACCCAAAAGCCTAGTTATATGATTAAAATAGATGATGCTCTGATAACCCGAAGAACCCTGCCCAATGGTCAGCCGGGAATATGGCAGTCTTAAGTCATTGCCTGTCCATGTGTTGTGTTCGTGAATCATGTTATTTCATTCATTCATTTTTCATGTTTATTGTGGTCAAATATATATAGAGACATGGCAATGTTAATATTTCCAAAGATCTAAACAAATTCTTGCAAGATGCCCTATAGTGGGAACCAGTTATACATCTCACTATTTTCTTCTGAGTTATACATATTTTCACAGTATGTGAAGCGTTTTCCCAAAAAGTTAGTCGGTAGGTTAATAATGACTGTACCAGCCCAAAATAGGCTAACTTTAATACATTCAGAGAAGTTTTATTGTGAAGTTGTCTAAAGATAAAACAAAAACTGCTCATCCTTGAGACCACCTTGTCAATATGTCCTTTCCATGTAAGCTTCTGGTCTAGGGTCATCCCTAGATATTTAAAGTTTGTCACCTGTTCTATCGTTCTATGATCAAGCCTAATTAATGGGCAGAAGTCATAACTGATGTTTTTTTGTTGAAAGATCATAAATACTGTTTTTGTTATGTTAATTAGCTGCCCATTATCTGAGCACCAGTCCGAAAATTCTTCTACAGTGGCGTTTGCATACTCAGTCGATAAAGCAAGTTTATGCTCAGCCACTATGTGACTCGTATCGTCTGCATAGATTACTGTTTTTTGGCTTTTTTACATGATTGTGTGAGGTCACTGACAAAAATAATAAATAATAGCGGGGCTAGTGTCGAGCACTGTGGTACTCCCATGTTAATATCTTTTGGCTGTGATTTTATCGAATCTATACTGACTATTTAACGTCTGTTGCTTAAATAACTAGAAATTCAGTCGCTAGCCACTCCTCTGACTCCCATTCTAAAGAGCTTCTCAATGAGTAGGTCATGATTGACTGTATCATATGCCCTAGTTAGGTCACAAAATATGGAAACTGGGCACTGCTTCCCATTCAGATTGTCAATTATGGAGTTACAAAGTTCATCTATTGCTGTTGATGTTGATTTTTTCTGTCTAAAGCCGTGTTGGCAACTGGTAATTAACTTGTGCTGTGAGGTAAAATTATGGGACTGCAAACATACATTTCTATCATTACTTACCTCCTGCTTTGACCCTTTATTTTTGAAAATAGGCACCGACTTAAGACGTCTTTAGCTTTTCAGGATATTTCCCTGTGATAAAGGAATGATCAATTATATATGACAGTGGTGCACAAATTATGTCACTTGCTGCTTTTAACGTTCTTCCATCAATTTCATCAATACCTGGAGTATATTTCTTTGTTACTCTGTTAATAATGGTTTGTATTTCTGGTTGAGTTGTAGGATACAGAAATAGAGAAATATTTTCAATAGGTGCTAGCTTCAGGTCCCATATACTTCTGGTTTGGGTAAATACTAATGATTGGTCGACAGCCATGTTTGAAAAGTGGACATGTTCAAACAAACTTTTTAAAAGTGCAAAAATGTAGCCATGAGTGAAATTAAATTATATCTGCTGAATTTCTTAGATAAAAGGCAAAACATAGTTTAAAAAAGAAGATAAACCATGGATTTAATGAAAGTTAAAGATAAAAACAAATAAAAATCTTTTTTATTTGAATCCAACAAAAGATAAAGGACTATCTTACACCTTCATATCAAGTTATTTTTAAGGTTGAATACTTTACACAACTTGTCCAGATATTTCATGTAAATGTTGATCGGAAATGCCAAAAAATTACTTTTCGAGAAAAGACATCATTAGTAATATTATAATTGTGTTGCTAACCTTATATCGTTATTATACCAAGTCTAAAAAATAATGAGTTTACCGTATAACTTTATTATTATACAAACACCACGCAATAATTTCTTGAAAATACAAACGGTATCCAGTTAATCTTATAATATTTTTATATCAGGATGGTAAAATATTTTAATAGGGTGAAGAAATTGCTTTAAAAAAAAGGTGCAGACAGACTATTGTTGAATTTACAAGAAATTCCATAAAATGTTGAAAAGAAATTTTAATTTAAAAATATATTGAGCTCACCTTTTAACTTTATTATTGTATAAGGAGAACGCAATATATTTTTAAACAAAATCATTTTTATTTTTTAATTAACCTTATAATTTTTTTATTAAATATACAAATTTAGAACCAAAATTAACAAGTTATTCCAATTAAAACAAAAATGTTTTTATTTTACAAGGACTGAGCAATAAATTTTTAAAGGCAAAAAAAAATTCAGAATTAAAATAAAGTTAACCTTATAATCTTATTTTTATACGATTGTGGAATAATTTTTGACGATAGTTCATCATAACTTTTTTAGATATAAAATATTGATCTCACCTTTTACCTTTCTTATAATACAAGGACTGCGCTATATATTTTTAAAGGAAAAAACAAATACAACATTTTTTGGATCTTAACAACGCGCTTGGCAATTATATGCGTCCATATAGATTCGTTCTATAAAGAATACATCAAAAATTTAATAAACATGGATATAGACTTCCTAAAATGTCCCCCTGACACGAAGAAAAATTAACAAGAAATTTCAATATGAAAAACTATTGATCTCACCTTTTAACTTTCTCATAATACAAGGAGTGCGCTTTATATTTTTAAAGGAAAAAAAATCTTAGTTCTTACCAACGCGGTTGTCAATTATATGCTTCCATATAGATTCGTTCTATAAAGAAAACATCAAAAATTTAATAAACATGGATATAGACTTCCTAAAATGTCCCCCTGACACATTTTTGGATAAAAATTATAGTTGTGGAGCTAACCTTGTTATTATACCAGGAAGTTCAAAAAGTATTAAGCTCACCTTATAACTTTTTTATTATACAAGGCACACACAATAATTTCTTAACAAAACAAACAAAAGTATCCAGGTTAATCTTATAATCTTATTTTTATACCAGGAAGGTACAATATTTTAATATGGCAAAGAAATTGTTTTTTGTAGGAATTTAAAAAAGTATTGACAGACAATAAATTGTTGTATTTACGATAATTTCTTAAAAGAAGAAATTTCAATATAAAACATATTGAGCTTACCTTTTAACTTTATTATTATACAAGGACCGCGCAATATATTTTTAGAGGAAACAAACATTTCAAACCATTTAAAAAATTATACTAAACCTCATTTTTATACGATGATTTTTGAATAATTTTTGACGCAATTCATCAAAATTTACGGATTATTAGATATACAAATTCAAAACAAAAGTAAATAATAAATTTCACTTAAAAAAAATATTGACCCCCTAATTATTTTATTATAAAAGGGCTACGGAGTGTATTTAAAAAAAATAAAGCTTCTTAGATCAAGGAAACGCGGCGATACTAGATTTGTATGGATTCGTTCTATAAAAAAAATCACCAAGAATTCAACAAATCCACGTGATACAGACTTTCTAAAATGCCATCTTGGCACTTGTTTTTGGGTAAAAAGAAGTTATTAACAGAAAGTCGAAAAAATATTAAATTTACCTTATAACTTTAGTATTATACAAGGACCGCGAAATAATTTCTTGACAAAACACAAAACTATCCATTTAATATTTATTTTTATACCAGGATGGTGCAATATTTTAATACTATTGCGTTTGGAAGAAATTTAAAAAGTATTGAAGTTGAATTTACGAAAAAAAATTAATTTAAAAAATATTGAGCTCATTCACCGTTTAACTTTGACAGTGCAACATATTTTTAAATAAAAAAAATCAAACAATTTAAAAATATATTGAGTTAACCTTATACAGAATTTATTATATAATACAAATTCAGAATAAAAATGAACAAGAAATTTCAATTTAAATAAATATCCAGCCCACCTTTATACTATTTCATTATACAAGGACTGCGCAATATATTTTTAGAAGAAAAACAAAATTTTCTAATAATTAATTTTTTTTTAGTTAACCTTATATTATTTTTATACCAGGATTGTGGAATAATTTTTGAGGAGAGATTTTCAAAATTTACGGATTTGATTAGATATAAAAATATAAAACAAGTATTAGAAATAAAAAATTTAAAAAAACCGACTTCAAAAACGTGTACATGCCATTACCACATCTTAACCAAATTTATATGGGACCACTCCTGAGGTATCGCCTTACTAACAAAAAAAGAATCATATAAATCGGTCAAGGTGGTAAAGCATTATTGCTAAAAAATATCGCGACGAATTGAGAACCTCCTCCTTTTTTGAAGTCGGTTAAAAAATGAAGAGTTTGAGGATTTTCTCATGGACCTAATTATTACATTTTGACCAAATTTATATGGGACCACCCCTGAAGTACCCCCTTTCTAACAAAAAAAGAATCATTGAAATCGGACACCGTGTTAAAGAATTATCGCTAAACATACATAAAAAAAAAAAATAAAAAATATTGCGACGAATTGAGAACCTTCTCGTTTTTTGAAGTCGGTAAATAAAGATAAGAATATTGTGCTCACCTTTTAACTTTTTTGTTATACAAGGACAGCACAATATATTTTTAAAGAAAAATCAAACAATTTAAAACACTGAGTTAAATAGACATTTCTTAAGATTATACGAATTATATGCATCTATAAGGATTCATTCTATACAAGAATCACCAAAAACTCATCACGACACTTCTGCTTTGAGTAAAAACTATAGATATGAAAGCTGACGTCCATAGAAGATGTAAGCAAAATATAGGTGGTTTGTTTTTCTACTTCTTGGTATATTTCTGTTATTTATGATTGGAGAAGAAAATTATTCAGTCAAAAGTTTTCAGGATGTCATTATCTATAATTTTTATTATATACATGATGTCCCTAAAATCGACCATATTGGAGATATTTGAAAATAAGTACAAAATTCAATTTTTTTCATCATGAAATTCCTAATCCGATCCTGTGCCTAAAGCAAGAGCGACCTTCAGATGGCAACCGACTCGTGCTCAAGGCGACGGAACGTTCAGGAATGCCGCTGACGCACTAGAAACGGCTAGAACGGGCGGAGAGTGCCGTTCAGTCAGAGATGGAATTTTCGAGAGCCTCTGGTGTCTTCTAGTAGCAGAGTTGAACTTAATATAAATAGCCGGTTCATCGGCGTACAGTTTAGTTTAGAGCATTTTAATGAAAAGTTAAAGTGTAATAAATAAATTAGAATTGTTAGTTAGTGTCTAAATTAATATAAATTAATTAGTACGTCTTAAATAAATCGTAAGTAGTACGTCTTAAATAAATTGTAAGTAGTGTGTTTTAAATAAATAAACTATAAATAAATTAGACTATCGTCACAATATATTAAGGCTTTTTTGCGCATTAACTCACCTTAAGTCTAGGCCTTCCCTCTTCCACAACCTATCCATGATTTTGATCATCTGCAGCGTCAACATATCCTGTCGCAGATCATCGCCGTTTTTGAAAATGATGTACACATCGTCACCGTAAGCGTCAGAATTTTCAAAAACGATCCACAACGGACGCATCTTGCTATCCATGACCCTGCACTTCTCCAACTTGATCCTCGTACACCTGTACATCGGATTCAATGGACTCTTGACGTGATTCACGACCTCGGCCCCCGACTCGCTGAGATACTCCTTGAGCGCCGCTTTGGCCTTTTCCTTGTCCTTCCGCTGACGCACGATGTCGCTGCTCTTCTTCAGCCGCTCGAGGCACTCGAGCTGCTTCTGGAGGATCACTATGTGCTCCTGGGTGCCTCTGCAGTAAGCTTCGAGAATGAGGCCGAAGCGGACCGATACGGCCGGCACCTGCATTTCCGAACTAAACAAATACAGTTTATTTTGATGTCAAATACTGTAAATTTAATAAAATCTACTAAATAATCCTACTGACTGCGCCATTTTCATGAAGAATCTTAGCTTAAACAATTTAAATTTATAAAAGGAATAAAACGCAACAACTTTTGATTCCCTAGGGAGTATATTTTTATTATTACTATTTGGTTTACTTACCGGAGGTGCCAGAACAAATAATGTCCAATTTGTTGATTACTAAGCGCTCTTTTAATTAGAAAATTCACTAAATCGCACTCTAAGTAAAGCTCATGCTTCAAGGCTTGCACTAATTGAAGCAGGTATAACAGAAGATCCTCATCGCTGAAAATAAATTGCCAAAAATTATTTCGAAATATGTTTAAATATCAAAAAACTGTATTTTATAACAAGTAAAAATTACCTGACATCATACAGACATTCGACAGCGAATTTTCTGACCTCCTGATCGGCGTAAGCGTAATCTAAAAGTTCTAAAGCCTTCTCTACGGGCAATTTAGGCCATTTTTTGAGCATCACTACGACTTCGCTGACTTCCTCCCTCTTATCCCAGTCGATGCAATAGAGGAGTTTGGGCAAAACTTCCGGTTCGGTTTTGCGCCAGTGATTCTTCAGAGCCCAAATTTTCTTACGATCCTATACGAAATAATACAATAATGTAAATAAACTTTCCATCTGGCACGGCACTGGATTCAAAAAAATATTGAGCTAACCTTTTAATTTTATTATACAAGAACAGTGACATAGTTTTTGAAAAAATCAATTTAAAATTATATTATATTGAAATGAAAAGAACCTTTGAAATATTGAGCTCACCTTCTAACTTTATTATTATACAAGGAGTGCGCAATATATTTTTAAAGGAAAAAATCAAATAATTAAAAAATACTGAGTTAACCTTATAATCTTATTTTCATACGACGATTGTATAATAATTTTTTGACCATTGTTCATTAAAATGTATAGTTTTCATTAAATGATTATATAGATTCAAAACAAAGTAAACAAGAAATTTCAAATTCAAACAATACAGATGATTATACAGGGATCTCGCAATATATTTTTAAAGTAATTTGTTTTACATAATTAAAAATAAAGAAAACAAAATATTAGTCTGTCACCAAATATTACAAGCGACTCCCCTTTTATTTTTATTTTCATACGAGGATTCTGGAATAATTTTTGACCATAGTTCATCAAAATTTACGATTTTTATTAGATTATACAGATTGAGAACAAAATGGATAAAATAATGAGTTTGCCTTATAACTTTATTACATAAGGACGTTGCAATATATTTTTTCAGTAAAAAAAATTAAATTTAAAAAATATTGAGTCAACCTCGTAACCTTATTTTAATATAAGGATTGTGAAATAATTTTTGACCATAGTTCATCAAAATTTATGGTTTTTCTTAGATGGAGGACCTCGACATAAGTTAGAGTTCCCTTTAGTCTATAGTTTTGTTAGGTTTTTCTTTTGTAAATTTTTATTATATGTCAAAACACTTAAAAAGTTATTTTATGTATAAAGATAGTTTATGAATTTAGTACGAACCCTTATAATAATGTATTGTCCTGTGTCAATGCCATCTGATGCCGAAACACGTGAATTAATTAATATAAAAAAAAATAATTAAAAAAAGAAACAATGAAATGTCAAAGCTTCTCACAAAATATTACGAGCAACAGTTTCCACTTTTTAATTAAAAAATATTGAGTTAACCTTGTAACCTTATTTTTATTCGAGGATTGTGGAATAATTTTCGACCATAGTTAACAAAATTTATGGTTTTCTTTAGATAGAGTATTATTTATATGTATAGATTCAGAACAAAATGAACAAAACAATATATTGAGCTCACCTTATAACTTCAATATTATATAAGGACCTTGCAATATATTTTTACAGTAAAAGAAAAAATTTCAATTTCAAAAAGATTCTGAGTTAACCTTATAACTGTAGAATCATTTTTGTCCACAGTTCATCAAAGTTTATGGTTTTCATTAGATGATAGAACAAAATTTAAATTTCAAAAATATTGAACTCACCTTATAACTTCAATATATAAGGAACTTGCAATATATTCTTCAGAAAAAAATTACAATTTAAAAAAATATTGAGCTAACCTTTTAACTTTATTATTATACAAGAAGTGCCATAATTTTTGACAAAATCAATTTAAAATTATATCCAGTTAAAACTTTATTATCTAATTCATATACCAGGATGGTGTAATATTTTATGGCGAAAAAATTGTGTTTGGAAGAATTTTAAAAAGTTCTGTCACAATATCTTTGAATGTTGTATACGAGAAGAACTTATGGTTAACCCAAAATTTTTTTAATTATTTGATATTTTTGAGCTCACCATTTAACTTTATTATTATACAAGGAGTGCGCAATACATTTTTAAAGGAAAAAATCAAATAATTAAAAAATACTGAGTTAACCTAATAATCTTATTTTTATACGAGGATTGTGCAATAATTGTTTGACCATAGTTCATTTAAATCTATAGTTTTCATTAGATTATTTAGATTCAAAACAAAATAACTAAGAAATTTCAAATTCAAACAATATAGATGATTATACAAGGACCTAGCAAAAATTTTTACAGAAAAAATTAAGAAAAACAATAAAATCTCAAATCCTGTGAGTGACCGTTTCCCTTTTTTAATTAAAAACATATTGAGTTAACCTTACAACTTTATTTTCATACAAGGATTCTCGAATAATTTTTGAACATAGTTCATCAAGATTTACGATTTTCATTAGTTTATATGGACCCAGAACAAAATGGATAAAAAAAATTCAATTTAAAAAATAATGAATTTGCCGCTTTATAACTTTATTATATAAGGACGTTGCAATATATATTTTCAGAAAAAAAAATCAAATTTAAAAAATATTTAGTTAACCTTATAACCTTATTTTTATATTAAGCCTAGACTTTCCCTTTTATAATAATGTACTGCCCTGTGTCAATGGGATCTAATGGCAAAATACGTTAATTTCAATAAAAAAAAAAATTAAAAAAGAAAAACAAAGCTTGTCACAAAATATTAAGAGCGAAAGTTTCCTCTTTTTAATTAAAAAATATTGAGTTAACTTTGTAACGTTATTTTTATACGAGGATTGTAGAATAATTTTTGACCATAGTTATCAAAATTTATGATTTTCTTTAGATAGATGATTATTTATATGTATAGATTCAGAACAAAATGAACAAGAAAATATATTGAGCTCGCCTTATAACTTCAATATTATATAAGAACCACGCAATATATTTTTACAGGAAAAGAAAAAATTACAATTTCAAAAAATTCTGAGTAAACCTTATAAAACTGTGGAATAATTTTTGTCCATAGTTCATCAAATGTTTATGGTTTTCATTAGATGATGATAGAACAAAATTTAAATTTCAAAAATATTTAGTTAACCTTATTTTTATACTAGGATTGAGAAATAATTTTTTGATCATAGTTCATCAAAAGTTGTTTTTTTTTAAATGGATTATACAGTTTCAGAACAAAATGAACTAGAAATGTTAAATACAAGATATTGAGCTCGCCTTGTAACTTGAATATTATACAAGGTTCTCGCAATATATTTTTACAGGAAAAACAAAATTACCAACATTTTCAAAAAATACTGAGCTCACCTTATAATTTTGTACAAGGAAGCCACCTTAACTTTATTATTATTCAAAGACGGCTCCATAAGATGCAGTTAAAACCTTATGGTCTTATTTATATACCAGGATGGTGCAATATTTTAACATATTATAAATTATTGTTGTATTTATGAGAAACCTTTCAAAATGTTGTTTATATTAACCAAATATATTTTTAATAATTAACTTTTGAAATATTGAGCGCACCTTTTAACTTTATTATTACAGAAGGACTGCGCAATATATTTGTAAAGTATTTTTTTAATAATTAAAAATAACGAAAACAAAATATCAGTCTGTCACCAAATATTACAAGCCACCGTTTCCCCTTTTTTATTAAAAAATATTGAGTTAACCTCGTAACCTTATTTTTATTCAAGGATTGTGAAATAATTTTTGACCATAGTTCATCAAAATTTATGGTTTTTCTCAGATAAGTGATTATATGTATAGATTCAAAACGAAATAAACAAGAAAATTTCAATTTCAAAAAATATTGGGCTCGTCTTATAACTTCAATATATAAGGACATTGCAAAATATTTTTCAGAAAAAAAATTACAAATTCAAAAAATATTGAGCTAACTTTATAATGTACAAGCCTAAAAAATATTACCTTAAATTATTCTGCTAAAACTTTATAATCTTATTTTTATACCAGGATGGTGCAATATCTTAATGAGCTAAAGAAATTATTTTTGCAGGAATTTCGAAAAGTATTAACAGACTATCAATAAATTGTTGAATTTGCGAGAAATCTCCCAAAATATTGTTTAGAAGGAGAACTTAAGGTTAATCCAATCATTTTTAATTATTTGAAATTTTAATTTTTAATTTTTTTTAACTTAAAGATATATTGAGTGCTGAATATTTTTTGATATTAAAAGAACATTTAAAATATTAAGCTCACCCTTTAACTTTATTAAAATACAAGTACTGAATATATTTTTAAAGAAAAACAATTAAATATTAAAACAATAAAGTCCCAAAGCTTGTCACAAAATATTACGAGCGATAGTTTAATTTTTTAATTAAAAAAATTATGAGTTAACCTTATGACCTAATTTGTATACGAGGATTGCGGAATAATTTTTTGACCAATACTTCATGAAAATTTATGTTTGTCATTAAATTATACAGATTCAGAACAAAATAAACAAGAACATTTCGAATGAAAAAAAAAATATTTGAGTTCTCCTCATAACTTTATTATTGTACAAGAACCTTTCAATATATTTTACAGGGACAAAATAAATAATTAGAAAATATTATACTACAAGAATTGTGGAATAATTGTTTGACTATAGGTAATCTAAAATTTATACTTATTTAGATTTAGAACAAAATGAACAAGAAATTTATTTATACAGGAAAAACAAAATTACAAACAATTTCAAAAAATATTGAGTTAACCTGATAACTTTATTTTTATACGAGGCCAGTTGAATAATTTTGTTGATAGTTCATCAACATTTTGTGATCATTAGATATACAGATTCAGAACAAAAAAAAGACTATTTTTTTAAATATACAAAATAAATTAAAAACTTTTAATGGGAAATTCCTATATAAAAAATTAATCTGACCGTGAAAAGTTACCTGATCGTGAGCTTCGTACAGATTATCAATCTCATTCAAAAGCTTTTTGCAAGCCGTTATTTCGTCGATTCTTTCAGTCTCGATATCGCTATCTTTCAAATCCACGTTTTTGATTATCGTCTCAACAGAAGGAAACACAACAGTTTGATCCTTAAGATAACTACAAATAAATTACAAAACATATCAGAAAATTCCGTGAAAACAAAAAAAAAACATTTTTTTACCTTTTCATATACAGTGTGAGAGTCGTAGAATATTCCGTATTGGGATTGCTAACTACGGTGCCTAGAGGATGCAAGACATCGTCCGAGTTCATGTCCTCGGCGTACGCCCACATATACAGGGTCATCGCTCCGTTTTTGAGTTGACTTTTGAAGTCGTATACGGACGTGTTGGCCCAGGCGAGAGGATTGTTTGAAAAATGGTTTTCCTAAAACACACGATGTACGTACAAAAAGATGGAAAACTGTGATGAACTACGAAAAACAATGAATAGGATAAACGGTGACTACGAAAAACGATGAATAGGATAAACGGTGAATACGGAAAACGATGAATATGAAAAACGATGAATTCGAAAAATGATGAATACGAAAAACGATGAATACGAAAAATGATGAGTACGTATAAATATATACGAAAAACGAATGTTTTTCTTTGCGTTAAAATGTTGAAAAACAACGAAA